CAGAGGAAGCCACCATGCCTGAGCCACACTCACATGTCTGTCCTCCCTCCTCCTATTTTCTGCATGCAGGCCAAGTGCTGGGAACAAGGGGTGCAGACTAAGTCAAGTGGGCTGTGCCCTCTGGTGTGTGAAATTCACTCCCCAAATGAGGAATCTGGCTGAGAGGCTCCCACTCACACCTAGGGTCTCTCCTGCATGCATATGAGCCTGAGCCCTCTGTGCAGTCCATCTGTCACCTGAAAGACAGTGCCTCCAACAATCTGAAGGAGCCTGGGTCTGCTGTCACAACCGAGACAACCATCCACATCTACTTCACAAGAGGCTCATCCTCCACAAAGTAGTACCCAGTGTAGCTGGCACCTTCCCCTCCAGGCCCAATTACCAATGATTGCCAGTCACGGCCATTGCCCAAACCACCTTGCAGCTCCCAAAGGAACTGTCCTGTCTAGGCCTCATTAAAGAAGGTCTTTGTGGGTCTGTGCCAGGACCGGGCAACAGAGACCAAGAAAACCCAGACCCTGCCCAGCAGATCTTAAACGGATAAATCTTTAAATCTGAAGACATGCAGGAATAAGTCTTTTTCATGTCTGAGACGTAGTGGAAGGCTTGGCTATAGAAAGGAAATACCAAGAAAGGTTCTCATAGTTTAGTTTATTAAAGTGAAACACACAATATGGGGGAACCAGAACTTGACTCCCTGTTAAAATAATACATTTGAGGAAATGTTTCTCCAACTATCACTGTAACTGATCAAGCATATGACATTGTTCTTTTACAAGATATATAGTTCCTAACACCCATGCAGAGAAGACCGGATCGAGGACCTTACCTGTGCAATATGTTGTGTGGGGTGCCAGTGATCCAGTTGTTGCCTGTGACAAGCAGAGACAAAGAGCCCACACAGACATACATATTCAGTGTCTTGAGTTTTCTTTCAAAGAAAGTATTTCACACGTCATGTACAAATTAAACACAAAGTCCAACAAGAGTCCTTTATTGCCACTGAAAAGGGGGGAAATAATTTACAATCTCATAACCAAAGGCAAGAACAGAGCCCTAGGGCAATTTGTTTCTGCAAATGCCATAGTCCCATGCATTCCTGCCAGTTGATGGTGCATCCCAGTCACTGAGTCCCAAGACAAAGGTTGAACAAGGTCATGAGGTTGTGATTATCCACCCTGGAAGAAGCCTCTTTTGTTCCCAGATGCCGGAAGTGCTGCCGCTCTCCTGCTTGGTCAGTAGATACACAACACAGCTGAATACAAGGGGCTCAGGACTCTAAATAGTGCAAACACTTAAAAAATATACATTCCAACCTCCTTGCTTCTACTGGCAAACAGAGCCTCAAAAACTCCACCTAACTGGAATATGAGTGTGCTCAGCCTCCCAACTTGATCCAACGAGGTGCAAATGGGGAGCATGGAGGTGATTTAAATGGCACCTGTCCCAACAACAATACAAATAAATGTTTAAAAAAAAAACCATGAGGCTATGTTAGATAAAAACACAAAACAGAGCCTGGAGTGGAGACACAGCTCGGGAGATAAGTCCCAAGTATAGCGTGAGCAACTGCAGAGCGCATGCTGAACACGTTCTTCTTAGGGACCATGGTGGACCCCTCCAGGTGAGACAGGGACAGATGCTTCCAAAAAAGACCTGGCAGCAAATACCTTAGGTCCTGGAAGTTTCAGAAGAATAAGAGAACAGAACAGAATGAGGAATGGTCTGCTGGACCCAGAAAACTCAAAGAGTGTGGCCTGCCCGGCAGCCATGCCCGTGGGCCAGGCTCAGTACCAGACAGTAAGAGCTACCAAGAGGTGGGCCAACCCAGCCTCACCCCTCAGGAAGCAGACTCCAAAAAAACAGCTAGACAGACAGACAGACAAGCAGTATAGTTGGGTAAGTGCTAAGTTAAGCTTAACATTAGGCCCTAGCAATTTAAGAAACACCAGTGACTGCAGTTTCTTTTCCCCCCACCCCTTGGTGCTGGGGATTGAACTCAGGGGCTCATGCATGCTAGGCAAGCACTCTACTGAGCAACATCCCAGCCCAATTGCATTTAAATTTAACAGTTTCCCTTGAATATGGTATAAAAATGGAGGCCCATCTACCTGGAGCTCCTGAAAATCTGTTTGAGGAGGAGGAGAAACAAAGGAAAGACAGCAACAGGTACAGATTGTGTGTGAGACTGAATGAAGTACAGAACATAACATTTCATCACGGTGGACAATAAAAAGCAAGTCGGATATTTGAAAAATGATCTTATAAAAATATCTACATTAAAATTTTAGCCTGAAAGCTATAGCTTCAATTTTATAAAAAGACAATCTTTGAAAGGATCTGGCTCAGAAATATACAAACATTACACAACAGATACCAAAGTAAGACAGCTCAGAAAGCATCTGAGGGGATATTGCAACTGGCTTGTCATGAAATAGAATTAAGTATTCTTATTGCATAGCAGAAAATGAGGTCACTTCATTTGCATAATACTGCAACTTTTGAGATGAAGAGATGCCATTGGGTACTTAAGAGAAATAACTTTGGAATTCACAAGCTGATTTCTACACTGTCCAAATCAGTATCCAAGTGGCGTCTAAGCTGCTTCTAACCTTGGGCCTCAATTCCATTTCCCCACTGCAATCAGATTCCAGATATGCCACTGGCAAAGCCGCTTTTGCAAGCAGTAGTGGCCACCCCAATGGGGGTGGGAAGGGGGAGATGTCACCTACCATGTGACCTGCACTGACTTAAAGTCAGTCTGATGTATCCACTGTGGGGAAAGAATAATACCTGGGGATAAAGAGACAGCAGTTTCAGGATGGCATCTGTGGGCAGCCACAGAAGAGTGGCTTTTTGGTAGTGACATGCCAGTGTCCTAGTCCCCATGAGAAAGGATGCATGAGGATGAAATAAACACGCCTCAGCAACACTGCCAGCAGGGACAGTGCCTCCTAGGCAGGGAGATGCCAGGTGGGGCCAACAGCGAAAACCCAAAGGCAGAAAACACAGCTGACTAGCTTTCAGGGGAGGGATCTTTCTGGGAAGATGACACATACAAACTAGCCTTCTCCATGTAAGCACAAATGTCTAGCTTCTTGGTGGTGGGAGAGGGGATGGGAATTCGCCTCTCTTCTGATTGGAGGGCTTGGGTGAACAGCATACCTCAACCTCATTCTTACTACACGTACCGTCCCCCAAACAACTTCTTTGGAGAGAGAGGAAGGACATTTGGAATAAAAAGCTTATTCTATCAACTTCCAACCCAGGGATAGGCAGAGCTCTGAAAATCACAGCCATCCCTGCTGTGAGACAAATCCCTGCTGGGTAAGACCAGAGCACCTAACTCAAGCATGCCTTGATTCCTCCGGAAACATCTTCTAGTTCCACCCAAGCTGTACTAAAATATCCTCTTACCAAGGCTATAAAATCTCCCGGGTACCTTGATGCTCTCCAAACATCTCACTGAAATAACACTTGCTAAATACTGGGAAGAGAAATTTCAACTACAGGAGTGTTGTACAGGAGCGCACAATAAATATACTACCTGGAGAGAGTCCTAGTCAAAGTGGTCAACTAGCTGGGGAGAGTCCTAGGTTTCTAACTGCAAGGGCAGGGGACAGAGGGGTGCCAATCTCCTGGAATATCTGCTTGGAAGAAGCACAATTGTATCAGAAAGCCAACATCAGGTTTCATAAAGTCCCTTGGCTTCCTGACATCAGGAAAGGTTAACCCAGCTCCTAAAGTGTGAGACTATTCAAGACACAAAACGTCAGTGTCACAATTCCAACATGAATAGTTTTCTAGCTTGGAAACTGCATGGCTTTAAGGTTTTGTTTTTTAGTACAAATGACCCCCTGCACCCTCAAATATGCCACTCCAGATGCTTGAAATTCTATCATTGATAATTCTGACCAATGACTTAGCAAAGCTCTCATCAAACTCCTCTTTTAAAACGCAAGTGTCCTGGGAAGAGATCTCAAATCTAGGGTCCACTGCCATCTCCCCCCTCACAAGAGAAGCATAGAGGGAGGGTGTCCTGAAGGCTGAGGCACAAACCCTGAATTGGAAGGAGAGCACAAGAAAAGGGAGACAAGCATGAGACAGACCTGACCCTTGTCACAAAGTCCAAGGGCTGACACCAGTGGGTATACTCCTTGAAGTCCTTCATGGCCATCCCAATCATATGACCCCAGCCAACACAAAGACAGAACTATCTCTGGGTTTGATGGAAGGGTGACCTGTTACTTATCCTCCAAATCGGAACACTTGTCAGTATAATTTGGTGCTGTGAATAATGAGACCCAAATGATAAGTATACATGGGGGCTGTCCTGTCCTGAGAAACCCAGAAGTCAGACCCCTTTCTGAGACCACTGTGGGCTGGGATTGAATCCTTACCACTTTGATTTTTTGTTTTTGTTTTTGTTTTTTTCCTTGTCTATTTTTTTCTCCAGTGTGATACCTGGGCTTCTCTGAAGAATTTGTTTTCCCTATGGAAGAGACACAAAATCTTCCAAACCCAGAATCCATGACATCAAAGATCAGAGGCCCAGATATGAAGACTGGGCCATTCTCACCTTCCCAGAGGAGAGCCTGAGGAAGAATGTCTGGCAAGGAGCACAGATTCTGTTTGCTCCCTAGCCTGGTACCCAGAGGACATGGCAGCTTCAAGAAAGGCCCAGAGCTACAGTAGTCAAGTCACCTGTTCAGGTACGGTCAGGGGACTGCCCTGCCCTGGCCGATTACTCCAAGACATGCCCAGCCTATCCAAGTGGATCCCCAGAAGACAGCAGCTATGGTAGTCTTGGGGTTTCCATGGGACAAATCCAGAAGAGAGGTTTCTGTGATTTTGAGTTTTAGCATGGTGAAGGGATCAGTAGTAAAGA